GCCTTCATCAGCCCACACCAGCGTCTATATAAACCCAGCTGCTCCCGAGGACAAGGTAGATCACTGTTGACCGAAGGGAGGCGAGCGAATGAAATACACATGGTCATCAGGAATTCCCAGTCAGGTATCCTCGCAAAGCGCTGACCTTCTGGGAGGTGGCACCTGGCAGCACTCTGAAGCACCTGAAGATGGTCATGATAGTCCTCTAAGAGCCTCCAGAGTTGCTGACGAAATCGCAGACCATTGATCTGGTTGGACCCGCTACGGATCCTAAGACGCCCCCATATCCCCATGTGCTCTTGGTGTCCCATAGAAGCCCAAGATTGGAAGACAACCTGCAGGAGGACCTTCGGAGCCTTTCGCTGCCAACCACGATGTAGGGCACGAAGATATTTACGCAACTCTATGAGTTCAAGGGCCCTTTCACTTACCCAGTCCTGCCGGTGGGGGTCCTCGGGGATCAGGTGTTCCATGGCAAAGGCAACGAGGTGGGCATCCACGCGTGCACAGTGCGCCGTCGCTGATTCATTCCAGTCAGGCACTTGAAACTGAGCCGCATGCCGAGCAAATGCCTCTCGGATCGCTGGATCCCGGAGACGCTCTGGCTGAACTCGCAACAGCGGCCACCTGCACTGAGACTGCGCAAGAGAGCCAGATGGAACACCGACTTCGACAAAGGTAGGGCTGTGGTCCTCCACAGCGTTGGCGAGGTCCACCGTTCGATCAACCCGTGCACACGACACCAGCGAGAACCAGTCTTGGGGGAGTAATACATAGTCCAACCGCTTACAGGTCTTACCATCAGTGTGAACGTGTGTATTGTGCGTGTCGTCGATCGGGGCAGGCAGGAAGGTAGAGGGAGCAACCACTTGGAACCTATGGCACAAGCTTCGCATACACTTACCCGAGAAATTCTCCTCCACAGCCTCCACATCCCCAATCTGTGCCGAGCAGTGGGAGCCAACTTCAGCATTAGCATCCAACATGAATACGGGCTGCGCTCCTGGTACTAAGTACTGGCTCACTAACCTCTGCGTGTCCAACCACCACGTTTCAACTGAACAAACATCCTTCCGAGCACAGTGAGGGGCATGAGCAGCGACAAGCAATAGATGCAGGCCAGGCACATGAAAACGCAATAAGAGCCGACTCGTATCAGCATAAAGCTGGGCAACGTGATGTCGGCCAGGCTTGACACCCTTCACAGGCAACTCACAGTTAATCCAGATAGCAACTCCATCAGCGCCGTTATCAGCACACTTGGAGTAGTACATCATGTAGTCACCAACCCTCTTAGGCAAAGCAGACTGTAGTCGAGTCTCCAGGACCCCTAGGAAGTGATATTTAGCAACAGAAAACTGACGAGCAAGGGCCGTGATTCTCCCAGGGGCATTCAGGCCGATAACCTTCAAGAGACGAGCACCTTGGGGAGCTTTCCGTCGGGACCCTTTATACTTGCTGTTACCCTGAAGCGTTAAGACGTTAGCCACCCCAAACTTGTACTGCTCTATCTTGTTCGAGGGGGCCTCATCTAGGATGGTCTGAACCCCGATAACCTCCTGGACCTGGAAACCCTCCGAGAGCACCTCGCCGACCCGTAAGGTGTTAGTACCTATGATGTTCGGAAGGTCCGCGGAGCGGTCGGAATGCATCCAAGCCCAGGCCAGAGCAGAGGAGTCAAAGAGCAGAGATGCAAAGGGCATATACTCCATGCCTGGCAGCAGTCCCATACCTGTGAGACGTGCAAGAGTATCCGCGAGCTCGTTATACCCTTCCCCTTGGTGGCTATGCACATGTTGTCCCTGGATGGTACAGGTAGCAGCCAGAAACTGGACCAGGGACCGAAGAAACACCAATCCAGAGTTGGTGACCTCGAAGGTTTGGGTGCCCATCAAAACTCCGAGCGTCCGCATAGAGTCAAGTCGAAGCACAACTGGTATTGTACCCGGGCCCGCCTGGGCAATCCATGCCAATGCCCATGCAGCAGCGAGAATCTCAGCAGTGTCAGAGTGGTAGGAAGACGGGAAGAGATCCATCACATCCTCCGGGACCAGATCAGATATATATCCTCGAAGGGCCCTGGAACCATCAAAGTATTCATAGATAATCACCGCAGCCGACGCAAGAACAAACGATATGTCAGATCCATCGGCTCCGCCAGTGCCATCGGTATAGACGAGGGCACGGGTGGGGGGGGGAAGGGGAGGTGCGGCACATGCTGCTGCAGCACCGCGGAGGTAGCTGGATGCAGGTAGGCAGACAGAGCCTCCTCACACAGCTGATGCACTGAAAAAGGCCAGGGCTGACGCAGCAGCTCGACAGCAGCAGGCACATAATGAAACGGGAAGTCACGGCTACTCAGAGGCGGCCGCTGGTCAGAGGGGCCTCTCTCGTCGGGGGGAGGGTCTGCCCGACGGGGGACCGCTCGGCGAGCAGCGGCCGCTAGGCGTTTCCCGTCGCCGCACCGCGAGGAACCGAGCGCGACTGGGAGCGATGGGCTGCCCTCCCACGGCTGGCCGCGCGACTGGGCGAACGCCTCGGCGAGCGCGAGCCAGCCTCCGCGCGGCTCGCACGTGCCTCGGGCTCCTCGGCAGCAGGCGTCGCTGGAGCCGCACGCGCTGCAGCTGCCCCAGCAGCCTCGGCGTCCGCGCGGCCAGGCGGCTGCCCCTGCACCCCTTGCGCCCCGCCCAGGCCGTCCACGGGCGCCGCGGCAGGTGGCCTGCCCGCCGCCTCGGGAGCCCCAGCAGGCCCCGCCGAGAAGGTCACGTGGGCGGTCGGCACGGGGATGTTCTGACCACCTCCAGCCGATAACTGCATCTGGTGGATGAGGGACTGGAAGCCCTGCAGCTGGGCCATCATCGCCGAGATCTGCGTCTGGTGGGCGGCCAACGCCCCGAGCGTGGACATGGGAGCGCCAGCAGGCACGGCACCAGCCATACCACCAGCCACACCCACCGGCGCCCCTCCAGCAGCAGGCGTTGCTGCGGGGGCAGGCTCGGCAGCCCTCCTGGCAGCCTCCTTGGCAGCCTCGTTCTCGGACTGGATCAGGGTCTTCAGCTCGGCAGTCGTCTTGGTCATGTGATCGAGATCGCGCTTGGCCAGGTCGACGTCCATGGTGGCCTGCTTCACCTGCGTCTGCAAGTCTTCCAGCACGTCGTTCGCCTTCTGCAGGCGTTTCTCGGCGCGCTCGGAGGCCTCCTCCTGCTTCTGGAGTTGGGCCTTCACGCCTCTCGCGCAGAACAGCATCGTCAGCGTGGTCGCGAACTCGAGCACAGCATCGTCGTAGTCCTCGCCAGCGTCGAAGCGGTCGAGGATGATAGCACTCAGGGCCTCCAGCCTGGCTGAGGCCTTCTCCTTGTAGTTCTCCACTTCGGCGTCCGTCGCCTGAGGACCAGGCGGCGGCCGCCACCTGGGGTGCCCACGAGCCACCTGCGGCAGCGCGGGGCGGATGTGCAAGATCTCCTTCGCCGAGCGGTACTCGTCGGAGGCCTTGTCCTCGTCCTCGTCCTTGGCCTTGTCCTTGGTAGCAGAGCCTCCTGCAGCCGACGGCGGTGCATCTCGAAGAGCGGGAGGCTTGTCAGCGGCCTTGTCCCTGCCCTTGCCTCTGCCCTTGCCCCGCGCCCCATCCTGCGCAGGGGGGGCACTGCCAGAGCGCCTCGGCAGGCGGCGCCACGGCGGGGCATCGGGCTTGGGCGAGCCACACTGGCGACAATCCACACGTTCGTGCCAGTTCTTGCAGGAACAGGTAGAACAGGACCAGGGAGAAGCAGGCGGCGCCCATGTGACGGAAGGGGCAGCCTTGGTCATGTCGACGCGTCGTACTTGCTGTCGACTGTGGTGACGTTGTAGCAGTCGACGCGCCGCCTCCAGGCGGAGGAGGACGCGAGCACGAGAGCGGTCCGCTCGGGCTGGCCTGTGCCACGCAGGCTTTAAGGCCCGGCCTGCGTGACGGCGGCGGCCAGCACGGCCGCGGGGCAGCGCTATGGCGGCTGCGAACAAGTGGCGCGTATATCAGCAGTCCCGGAAGTGAGGGGCGCGGCTACCTGGTAGCCTCCCAGGGCCCCTCGAGCCGGGACGGCGGCTAAAAGGGGGGGGGACAAGGGGGGAGGGAGGAGGATGGAGCACGAGAGAGAATAGCAAGAGGGGGGGCTAGGAGCAGAACCAGACGGGCAGATCAGGCGGGTAGACCCTGAACGGCGGGTCGAGAAGGCGGCCAGGTCGAGCAGGCGGGTTGTTGAAGCGTGCGTCCTGCATGATTCGCGAGGAATTCTCGAGCGAGAGCGCGTCCCAAATGAACCCTCAGGAAGTTCACAACGAAAGCGTGATTCCTGAATGTCGAGGGCGCGGCGTCTGAATAAATTGTGAGGAAATCCACCGCGAAAGCGCGATTTCTGCAAACATCGTGGGAAGTCCCGCGCGAGAGCACAATCTGGGCATACATTGTGAGGAGGTATAAGGCGGGAGCGATCGTTGTTGCAAACCGGGGCCAGGGGCGAAGTTTCGTGTCCCTTCACCTTCCTTGTAAAGCACAGGGTGCGAGCCCTGGGAGAAGTACTTTAATTGAAAAAAGAAAAACCTGTAGAAGTGAGAATCAAATGACAACAACAAACAACAATCCTTACCGCGAAGGCCCACTTCAGCCACGCACCCATGGACTTTGAATGACCGTTCGGACTCCTCACTCTGATATACATATATCGGCGGCGAGCGAGAGGGGGAAATGATAGGGAGAAGACCTTCTCAGAAGGCGGCGGGGCTTCACAGAAGGCCTCCGGCTTAGAAAACCTTCTCAGAAGGCCGGGGGGATCCCGAGCCTCTTGAGAAAGGCCACTCCTTCTCACTTGCCCCCCCTGGCTCGCCACCGAATATACAAATATGAACACATATATATATATATATATATACACATACAAAGATATCTCCGTGTCCACCGCTCGCCGAGGCCCCCGAAGCTCGATGCCCCGGGCGGCGGTGAGAGATTTGCATCCCCGCCTCGGATCCTCGCCGCTGAGCAGCCGCCGGAGCCGGGCCATCTCCTGCGGGAAGGCGTCGCGCCACCCGCCACCCAGGCATTTTCAGCGACGCGCCACCCTTCGGTCTGAAGACGTGGGCAGAAGCACGAAGTACAAGGACGAGTGTTAGGTCGGGCATGTCCCCGTACAGGCCGATTTTTGATGAACAATTAAGGAACACTAAACTAGAGTGAAACATAATCACAAAATCGTCCCCGTGCTAATATGGTTTGCCTTTTGGGGGATGTTCCTCCTGTAGACGGACAGGCCCGACTTAAAGACGAGTGAGAGGAAGCAAGAGAGGGATCCCGAGGCTGCTGGAAGGGGTCCCTGGCCCCAGATGTGCCTGGCTGTTCGCTCCACTCTGGAACCCCTGGCGCCTTCTTGGCCTCGTGAGGGGTTCTCTCTCCTCTTCCTCCTCCTCCTCCTCCTCCTCCCTCCTCCTCCTCCTCCTCGTCGTCCTCCTCCTCCTCCTCCTCCTCCTCCTCCTCCTCCCTCCTCCTTATCGGAAATCCAGGGGGCACCTCGGTCCAGGGGCCCTCCTGTAAACTTGTCGCGTCGGCGGCGAGGCAGGGGCAGTCCGCACCAGCGCGGGGCGAATCGGGGCAACCGAGAGGCGGAGTGTCCGGCGTGCAAAGGGGGAGGAGCGAAGACGAGGGCGGCCGCGCGAGGGGAGGGGGGGGGGAAGCGCAGAGACCCACTCCTGGAAACACCCGAAGGGAGGGACGGGCGGATGGACAGAGGCACCGTACTGACACGAGGAGCCCAGAGGAAGGAACGAAGGGGCTGCTCTGGCCACGGCGGGGGCAGGACACCAACAGGTTCCACTGCACAGGTCGAAGGAAGGGCCCGGAAGCCCGAGCCCCTCCTCCAGCCCAAAGCAGTCCTGGGCTCGGCGTCACGCCTGGAACTGCACAAAGGGAGGCAACAGCAGCAAGACAGATCGATCGTTGCCTTCGGACGGCGCTGGAAGCTGGGCTCTGGGACCTCAAGCATACAGACTCTTCCACGGCACACGGGCACCCCAGAAGCAATGGCGATGCGTGCGTGGTTCGAGCCTCGCGTCTCTTCCGCGATCTCGGCCTCTGGGGCTCGTGGTCGGGTCCCGGGGCTATCCTGTTGGAGGTAGGGACGGGGTTATGGCATCCAGGGGCGTGGTGCTAATTTCACGCAAAGGGGACTCTGGCGATGTGATTGATGGCAGATAGAATCGCCATTCCCACGATTGGCACCACACCCCATTATGCCACTCCCCTGTCCCGACCTCCAGAATCAGACGAGAACTGCCCCCGGGCGCCGACCCCAAATCCCCTCGTGTCGTGCCAGAATCACGCCGGGTGGTTTTCGGCAACTGTCAGCCTCCGAGGGGCTCTCACCAGGCCCAAGGGCCATCGAGGAACGACTCGGTACGAGAGGCTGGCCCCCTGGCGAGGGTCCAGGGGGGGCCACGCTGCGTGCATGCGGCCTGCCGTCGAGGTGCCGCGGGGGCGCGGCAGGTGGGCGCCGACAGTGGCGAGGCGACGACAGATCAGAATGCGGTGTGCTGGACTGGTCGTAGTGAGGAGGAGGAACAGGAGGAAGAAGATTGAAGCAGTGCAAGCCAGGCTACCCTGTATGCTGCACGCCAGGCAAGCCGTGCAAGCCAGGGGGGGCCCAGCTACGACAAACAAAAGGAGACGACAAAAAAAAAGAAACAAAACGGCGCCCGGGCCAGAGGTCTGGGACTGCACACCTGCACCCAGCCAGGACAGGCTCAGCCTGGGCCTAGGCTTCGGGGAGACGCAAGACTCGGGTTCGGGGGACTCGGGTTGGCCTGGCGGGGTCCTCAAGAAAATGACGAAATCCGGTCTGAAATTTGACGTGAACTCCCGCTGCAAACCCCCCACGAAAACTGGACCGTCAAAATCCAGGACGCACTCGTCAAAAAGCGTGGACAGACCCGAGTTCCGGCGTACACATCGGACCCGAGCCAGAAGAACACTCCTCAATAACACCCTCAAGTGGCGCAGACAAACAAAACATCCAAGGGTACCCTCCCAAGATGCACAATCGGGTCGGGCGAAAGGGGGGGATAGCAAAGGGGGGGTTTGAGAATCAGCTCACGTAGCTGATTTTCCCGGCGCCTCCCGGCGCCGGAGGCGCCCATGTATCGAGGAATGGGCCCCTCGGTGAGGCCGAAACCAGCTGCATGCAGCAAATTTCGTAACCCCCCCTTTCCCAATCCCCCCCTTTCGCCCGACCCGACACAAGCACGAAGAACACTTGGGTACCCTCCCCAAACCGACCTCGATCCTGGGTATATACCGTTCTTCGCTTCACACCGCGGCTCTTTCCGGCGGCCGTCCGGGACGCTCGGGACGATCACCCGGATCGCCCTCGGCGAGGCGCGGGCTGTTGGAAGGCATCCCGAGGCCGGGAAGCGGCCGAAAGCCGAACCGACCTCGATCTCATACCCCCCCGAGCCGAGCCGCACCAACCTCGATCGTAT